AGCTTCCAAGGGAAAGTCAATTTAGTTAAAACTTTCATCGCAGTATTTTCTTTCATTGCATACTTTAACTTATTAGCGGCTTAGATAATATTCCATAGGGAAAGTTGTGTGCCTGAGTGTCTTTAGTTCAAAAGTGGAACACTAAGATTTCAAGTATAGTTTAACTTCGTTCTGAGGCCTTAGAAAAGAACACTTAGGCATCAGCCCATCCAGCACGTGAGGCCCTCAGTTCCCCAAAGGACATTAATACATTATGGAATGTATGGGCTACAGTGTTTTACTTTAAGACCAGTAGAGTTAGTCTAAAGTGAATTAAAGGAATCTTTCTATTTTAGGCTTACTTTTTCCTGTACCTTAATTATGGGCAAGATCTAAAAATAGATATGATTTTAGCAATGTATTAAAATCCCTAACTATTGTAGAGAGTTAGACCTAGAAATATACAACGTCAATCTGACATGCATGAAAACACTAGGGAAAAAATTATAAAAAAGAGTAAGTGCTACATTACAGTTAAGTGCTACATTTTGCAGAAACAACATATTATATTTTCTTTCCTTCTGTCTTCTTTCTCTTCCTTCTTTGTTTCTTTCATCTTCCTTCTATCAATACATTTGCTCATAAGTTTTCTATGGAATATAGCAAACTACATATTCAGATAAGGTCTTGAGTATTTTCTACTTGTGCTTAATGCCTTTTATAAATCTGTCATCTTCACTGTTCCAATAGCTAAAATTTAGCCAACAGTAACAGATTGCTGTGAGAGATGTAACCATTCCTCTAGTCCTCTGTATCTCAATACTGACCTTCATCTTATGAAGTACTAAAAAGCCACCAACACAATGCAGATTGCTCAGTGGATCAAATGAGTGTAATATCTTTATTATTGATTTTCTGTGCTTCATTTGTGTTTTGTTATGTCTTAAACAGAGTGCCAAAAAAAGGCCTGAATTTTGTATAGTTTTAAAAATCTATTTCCACACTCTCCTTTGAGAAATATATTTTATGGTTTCTTCTTCCTCTTGGTTATTAGTTCCTCTTACTAAAGAATTTAAAGCTAAATAAAGGTGAAACATTTGACTTCTGCTATATGTATGAGGTTAGTAGTTGGCTTTTGCACATGAATAAAAGGGCAAAAGACATTTCTAAGCACGCAGGACTAAATCCCTTCTGATCTTTTTTGAATATTCCATTAACTCCTAAAGAACCCTGAAAAGCTGAATACGAAGTCTGTACCTGAATCAGGTGCAGTTTCCTTTCACCCGCATCTTTCTTTAAGAGAACCATCAGTTGACCCACAGGAATGTCTGTTTCCCAAGTTGACATGATAGTTTGTTGTCTCTTCTAAGGAAGCGAAATCAGTTTATTTGAGGAATGTACCCTTGAGGTGAATGAACTGAGTTTCCATTATGAGAATTACTAAGCACTTGCTTGCACTCTTTACATTTCAGTTTTGCATTTACAGTGCTCACAATTTTTAGCACAGAAGGACCCTGCAGTTTGTCTTCAAATACTCATAAATATGCAAAACCAATACCATTTAATTGAGCAGTGATATTAAACTGGAAACCAAGTACATAGTGAAAGAATTTAAAATCAAAGACTATCAATAGAGTACTTACTTCACCTTCACATTCAACAACCTTTAATATGCCCTAATAATACCTGTGTCCATGAATTTCTGAAGACCTTAAATACAGGGGCTTTTGCTGTGTAGGAATCACTGATTGTAGAATCACTGCACTAGCAAACAAAAATGGTTAAACAGGATAGAAATGGAAAAAATGTGTTCTTCAAAAATACACATGCAGTTTTGGTCACTCCATTCAGATGATCACTCAGAAGTATTTTTAAAATGAGTACCTGTTTGGGATACATAGAAACTTTGCTACACTTCTCTTTAAATGATTTATTCTAGTTACAACTTATTATAAAGTCATATGATGCTCATGAATCTCTAAATATTTCATGACTGATTAGTACTATTTGAGAATTCATGAAAATTACTTATTGTATTGAAATGATCATCCAAAAATATTATAAAATCTGTTTGGCTAGTAACAAGTAAAAATGTAAAAATTGCATTAGACATGACCAAGTGTCTTAACATCTAAGAGAAGTGCAAAGAAAAGTTTTAAAAGACAGATGAGATGATTAAATCATTATTGGAAGTATGAGTAAGGGATTATGGTGAGGGTAATTATGACTTCATGAAAGCACAGGTGACCTTTACCACATTTAGGGTGCAAATCTGAGCACTTATATTCCCAAGATTGGCAAACTAAGTCCTGAGATTCAAAGATAATCTTAGTTCTGACAAAAGCTCTTATTGGATAAAACATGCTCCTTACTCTCTTTTTCCTTCCTGGGAAGGACTGCCTCTTGCCTACCTCCTCCACAACAGGTTCCGGTCCCTTGGCGCACTTGGGAAGCGATAGCCTGGGACTAACTCACAGTACGTTCCTTTCCCTTCCTTTCCCCAGGTAAAAGAAGTGAGGCTGAAACTTAGCGTGCTATATATAAAAGACTACGAACCCCAGAAACAGAAACAGGGGAGGGATGGATGGGTAGGTGGACAGGAGGATGAGTGGATGAGGTGGGTGGATGAAAGGAGGGCTGGAAGGACGGATGAGATGAAAGGACGGAGAAGATGGTAGATCACTTGAGGAAGGGGTGGCGGTAGAGCTGGGTGAATTCTATCTCAGATTCAAAGGAACAGTCCAAAATTTCCTATTTACTCAAGCAGATATTTTGGTCACATTTTACCCCCAAGCAGCATTTGAATTAACCCTATTTTCCCATGAAAGTAATGTATCATACTCTTGTAAAAATGTTTTTAAAAAGCCAAGTTCACGAAATGCAGTCATGTAACCATACTTAAGAATGAGGCCAGTGTTTCAAAACCACAAATGTTAAGGGCACTGACATAGTTTATATGGTATCGTGAATATGATAGTATAATTTACTGCAATCTGTTTTATATAAAAGTATACATTAATAGTAATATAATAGCTCAGCATTAACTAGTGCTTATTACATGCCAGGTACTCGCTTAAGACTTTTTATGTATTGAGTGTTGAGTTCTCACAGCAACCCTGTTGGGTAATTACTGCTATCAAACACATGGTGGAGGTATATTAACTGAAAACTAGACAGATGAAGTCATCTATTATGGCCTCGTTTGACTTTTATTGCAGAAGTGGTAATTATGATAGCCCTGGCCCATTTCAAGAGGCTCTATTTTTCTTTCTTTTGTTTCTTTTCCTCCCTCTCCACTCCCCAAACACTGACTTAAACCCCACTCCCAGAGAAGTGACAAGACAGGACTCTAGGAAGCCCAATGTTAATTCTTTCACCACCTTTTAAATTACTTTTCCATTATGTGAAATGGTCAGGGTCTTTTCATACTTCTTTGCCAGAACCCATAACATGAAATAAGAGGAAACAGCAGTGCATATAGTGCACTATACAGTGAAGAATTGTTCATAAGAGAAATATTCAAAGTTCAGACTCCTAGGCCAAGCCTGCTTGTGTTGAGCCCAGTTCCATCTTCAAAGTTCTGAAGTGTTAGCCCTCTTCTTAATTTCCCTCTGACCTTGTGTCATCTTTCAAAAAGGGCTGGTTAGAAGTGCCTCCCTCACATGATGTGGATTTGGTATTCACAAAGCAATGCAAATCTGCCTGGCACACTGTAAACAAATTTTTGAAATAATGAATTACTCTTGAAATCTGATCTTCTATCGCTAGTAAATTGCTGTCATGTAAGGGGAACTCTTAGGCAGTTGAGCATTAAATTTGGAGACAACAGAACATCAGCAGTGAGTCTCAAGGAAGGAATGAACGATGGCAACAACATTTTAAAGGTCACATATGAAGCGTTAGGGTCATATGTTTCTTTGCTGTTTCTGGAATTCTGTAAATTCATGTGTGTCTCTTAATTCTGATGGGTCACATGTTTGTTTTTATTAGCAGAAGTTGAAAATAACAGAAATCTGTTCTTACTGAATGAAGCTTAATAGACCAAAAAAAGTGCTTAACACAGAGGCAAGGATTAAAAAAATAAAAAGGCAAATTGTTAATAGAGGGATCAGGATCCACTGGTCTGGAACTTCTTCAAGTCTTAAGGAATTATCTAATGATTCAAAAATACCAAGCATATTATACACTAAGATACAGTTACCTACTGCAGCTAATTTAAGAAGATCTCTAAATGCCTGAGCAGTCATCAAAGATTACAAAATCTTAGAACAAGAGAAGACTTTGGAGATTAGTTTTATTTGGTTGATTCACTTAGTGTTGGATAGCTATTACTTCAGAAATTAAATTCCTCGCTTTCCTAGTTCTGAAAATGTGCTTTATAGTGACAAGCGTCTCTGTAGAAGTTAGAGAAAATGATATCAAGCTGTGGCATGGTGGAATATTTTCTTTCATATGCTGTGGTTGTCCCTTTAGATAGTGATAAAACTATATGAGGGTCATTTAGCATCCATCTGTTTTGCTTTTAAAGAGCACTTCGCTTTAAAACTGATTTTGAAAATTATGATTTGATTCATGCACAGACTTTCTGAAAACACCTATATTGCCCACCAAAAGACACCTGATGCTCTTTTATTCAAAATGTCCAAAAGAAAATGAAAGAGGAGCTTACAAAACGTAATTAATTTTTTTGTCGGCAACTTTGTTGGCTTAATGAGAATGAGTCAAAGTTATATTTATTGGACAGTTAGAGTCAGATTTTTCATAGTACTTTTAGAATAAAGGCTATTTTCTTCATTGAACTGGACATTAAAATACAATTATAAATTTACTTTTGCTCATTAATATATGGAGTTTCCATTAATTAAAAAACCTCTAAGATTGGTTGCATGGACAAGACAAGCTGAACAGAAAGCAAAAGAAAAAGACAGTGTTACTTTATTAAAAACATAGATTTCCCTCCAAGTGAAAACGCACTTCAGGGTTCACCTGCAAAGGCTCTGACAGCTGGGTTGTTCTTTCAGCCTCAACAGATGACAGTGCAGCTGAGAAGAAAGGGGGGACCCTCCACGCCGGCCTCATCGTTGGGATCCTCATCCTGGTCCTCATTATAGCAGCAGCCGTCCTGGTGACCGTTTACATGTACCACCATCCGACGTCAGCAGCCAGCATCTTCTTCATTGAGGTAAGTGCCAGGCAGAGCCCAGGAAGGCCACATCGGCGCATGAGCTGTGAGCTCTTGCACACATCTCCTGGGTTTACTACGCAGCATATGCTTGACTGATCTCACACACACACGCGTGGGCACACACGGACACAGTGACAGGTTAGCGACCTTCACACGACGGGTTCAGGCCTCTCATCTCTGAAGCTTTTGAAGAAACAAGCTATCCTGCTTCTCTACAGATCTGAAGGAAAATAGAAACCACACATTTGTGTCCTGTTAGACCCAGTATGCTAACCAGCTGTTCTTCTAAGCCCAGGGGGAAATGTAGCCTATGTTGGGGGGCTGAGGGATTTGACTTAAATTAATTAATGAGTAAGTGCTAATTGCGTATTGATGGTGTATGTGATACAATGTGGTGGGCCTGCTCTCGATACCCTCACAAACTATGGAGAACACATCTGCTTTTACTACAGAATATGCTCTTTTCACTTTGCATAATGTGTGTATTTATACATTGATATATAAATGCATGCACATATACGACAGAGGAGCCCCATCTTGAATTTGTGCTCTGATTTCATGTACAAAATGTAGATTTAGTACTAGTGCCAGGACCAAACAGGTGTGAGGACCTGGGACTGTGTATGGTTGCCAGAGCCAGGCCCGAGCATGTAGAGAGCTGGAACTGGGGAGCATAGAAACCACCAGATATAGTCAGCACAGCCATGTTGCTCTCGGTCCCCCAGAAGGTTGGGTTTCCTGTGTTCCCCGTGTGAGCAACTTTCCCTCTGCCGTCTTCTTGGGGCCACCTCTCTGCCAGCACCAAATCATACCGCTGATACTAGGGTGATAATAAGGAAACCTTTGCAGAGTTTGAAACATGTAAGCCCTCTGTTCTAACTCATGGTGTAATGTGCAGAAAGCGTGCTTGGAATTTTGCTCATTTGCTTGAGGCAAGAATTATATGTAATGCCTTTTAAAATTCTAGGGTTCAAATTACCTGTGCCTCTTTAACAGGAATCAGTGAATGCAATCAATTAAATAATAGCTTTAATGTCCTAAGAGGGATTTCCTGAGTAAAGTTAATCCCCTTATGCAGGCGCTCAAGCCCTTTGCAGTCCAGACTGTAGGTATCACTTCCGTCTTCATCCATGGTTGCCCAACCTGGAGTGGGAACAATGTCCTTTCCACTCCCAGCTCTGCTCCATGTGGCCCGCAATGCTTGGTGCCACAAAGAAACTGCTGATGCTCTCTTTGCTCCACCAGCAGAGCGAAGCCTCTTCTCCCACCCCAGTACAGCCAAACAGCCTTCAGTGCCATGTACCCTCTAATCTTCCTAGACCACCTTTGTCTCCGGATGGCTGACATCTGTCTTTCATTTCTGAAGTTCTCCACTTACACTGCTCTTTCACACTGACCTGTCTTGTGTTACAGTTAAATCTGTGTAATTAATCCCACCATACGTGACTCCTTCAGTTAAAAAACAATGTCATTGAATAACTTATATTTTCTTCCAAAATAGATATTCTGTCAGTATTTCATAAAATATGTAATAAATATTCCACCTAGGACATTTCAAACTTGAATATTCCAGAAAGGGCGCCCCCTTTAACGTCACGGTTATTGAGCAATGACCGGGCACTGCATTAGTTGGAACGCTATCATTAATTTCTGTCAACAGGCTCTATTTTCATGGAACAAAGTGGGCATTTCTGGACATTCCTGGAGGTTGTGAGTACATTTGTCACAGATCTGGCAAGTGACAAGCTGAAAGCCACGGTGACCGGCAGACGCTGGGCTGTCATTACTGTTAAGCTCTCATGTGTTTGAGACTTCTAGTACACTGTGGAGTATAACGGATGGTGATAATATTAGCAGCAAACTGCATGATGCACATAACCTGGCGAAAGCTTGTCCTTTAGTAAAAGCAATCCCTGTACGTCTACAAGACGAGACTTCAGAATAACACTACTTTGTTTTGTACATTTGCCTGTTTGAATCTTTCTCATTGCTTAGCAAGCAGAGTCTAAATATCCACATATGTGTGTGTGTGTGTGTGTGTGTGGAGTATTTTTACGGGCATATCCATGTATTTATAGAGTGTTAGAGCTAGGATGAACCTTAGAGGTCATAGCCCTATACCCCAATGGCGCCGAGTGGGGGAATGACTTACCCACGGTCGCCCAGTCATTCTGGGACTAATTCCCAGCTTTCCACACTTGAGTGAGGCGGAATCATTCTGCGTGTTTGCGCATCTTTTCTCATCTGTGCCTTTTCTTCCCATTGAGTCAACTGCTAACAACCCCTTAAATCACCCCCTCATGATACCCTGCTGTGATGACGCAGCTTGCAGTGGCTGGTCAGTGGGTGTTTCTGAAGGTGATGATCACAGCTTTGCCGCTATGAAAGCTAATGAATATTTGCAAAGCCAAAATACAGGTCTATGATGGACCACGTATTGTCGGTCACGCTAGACCTAGTCTTTTGAAGATCTTCAATCACTAATCAGATTAAAATTGCTGGGACACAAAGGGATTGAGTAGGCTGATATTGTTTCCATTGCATTTTATTTTTCATGTTGTTCTGCAGTCTAGTTTTTAAATAACATTGATGTGTTTTTCCGGGCTGAAAATGATGCCAGTCCACAGAAGATGTGGGACAGTGCAGAAATGTAAAAGGAAAATTATTGCTAGTCCTAACATGCAGAAACAATTACTGGTAATATTTTAATTTTCTTCCACAGTTCATACATGCATATCTTCATGTTTACTCACTCAATACTGTGATTTAATTGCAATACAAATTGATATTCTCTTTCATCAAGTGACATCGGTTGTATTATGAACTTTTTGTAAACATGATTTTAATAGCTGTAAACTATTCCATTCACCATTCGTTCAGCAGTCCATATTGATTACTTCTGAGGTAATAAGTAAAAATTCAGAACGCAGAAGGGCCTAATGTGCTAGAAGTCAAAACAAACTTTTTTCCACCTAATTTAAGATGCGTTAGCTTCCCATTACCGCTGTAACACACTGCTGCAAACCTAGAATCTTAAAACAACACACACAGTCACCTTGACTCTCCCATCTGCTCACTGGGCCGCTTGTGGCTCTGTGGGCCCAGCAGAATAACCTAGGATGCCGTCCCGTTACGAAGTCCGCTGAGCTCCATTTGCCATGCGAGGCTACAGGGACAGGTTTTGTAGCTTCGGACGTGGACACCTTTGGGGACCACTTACTCCATCAGCCACGGACTGCGTCGAAAGTAACATGCAGCACATGCTACCAGTTAAACTGAGATACGACCTTGCCTTTGTTTCTAGAGCAGAGTCTGTGTCTCACTAATCTGTGATCTGAAGTTCAGTGACGTCCACATATGAACCCGTGTCTGTCCTTCATATTTTACAGTGAAATCCAGATTTCCAGGACCCTTGTGTAAATGACCTTCTGTGTTAGATACTCGGAATATTGGGATAAAATTCAGTCTCTCTGCCCTCATGGCCGTAACGGAGCTTATACAACCGGTTTCCTTTCAGGGAGCATTTTCTGCAGCATGGACTCTTCTCAGCTTTTTCCTTTATAGTAGTCCCATTACGAACATATGGTAATGGCTAATCTTTATTAAATTCATGAGTATAAGTGATTTACACATTTTACCTTATTAAATAATATAGGTACTACCATGTACCTTGGTCTCCATCTCATAGATGAGGAAGTAGAGGGATAGAATTAAGTCCCCTTACTCAGCAGCACTCATTAAGTGGCCAGTGGAGTCAAGATTTGGGGCAGGGTCTCCAAGCACTGAGACCACACCTTTCACCCCTGCTCTGTGCCACCTCCTTGGGAGGTAAGGATTTTTCTTCATTTGCTGTAAATAGAAATTTCTGATGATGTATACCTTGGGGTAGACATTATGTCCTTAGGCATAGTTTCCCAAGGTAGAATCAAAGGAAAAACAGTTTTAAAGAATTTAATAAATATTGTCAAAATCACTACCCAAGGGGGCCAGGGATTTAGCTCAGTGGTTCCCCCACCTTGCTTGCAAGCACAAGTACCCACGTTCAATTGCCAGTACCAAAGGAAAAGAAAATCACTACCCAAGGGAAAACACCTATTCATGGAGCTGTTTTCATTGTCTATTTTGAGTAATAATAATAATGACACCATTATCTGTGTATTTTATGCTTGTAGAAAATGTAGACCAGTTATTTATTATATGTTTTGTGGACACAGACCCTCTTCCTCACATAAAATGTGTACATAGGCCTTTAGCTTTTAAACTTCCTGTTAGGAGGAAGGAAATGAGATCATAAAGCAAAGCATCACCCCATAAACAAGTGAATTGACCATTTACCTCCAGGGTCTCCATACACTGATTCTGGAACAATAGTTCCATTTTTCCAAAACATCTAGCATCTGTTCCATCCAGCAGAATAGTCCATTGTTCACGAACTTATCTCCTGTAATCTTCCCTCATCCTACTCATATCTTATACTGAGCATTTTCTTTGAGTCTTTACTAGATAGCTTGCATTTTGTGTTTCCTTTGTGGCTTTTCTCAGTTGCTTTTGAAAAGACGTCTGATTCCGACTGAAATCTTTTATAATCTACAAGGGTATCTATATTTCCTTTAAATCTTTTTAAAATGAAGTTTATTATCTTGAAAGAAACAGACAGAATATCCAAAAGGATATGCGTTCTTTAGGTTTTGCTAGATTGTGATAAGACTGCTCTCTGTTTGGAAGATTCAGTGTGCCTTCTGTTTCACATTAAACTTAAAGACTGTTGCACATTCTAGTCATAAATTCTGTGATTTGTGATAAAATTTTTATATGCATATAGGTCAGATATCAACAGTGTTATACTATTGAATTCTATTTACATACCATGATTCAAAATTTTAAAATAAAATACATAAAATATAAGTGAAGGTAAAAATAATATTGTAAAGTAGTAGTCATACAAAGTGCAAAATAGATATTCTCATGAAGGTTCTGTGTGTGTGTGTGTGTGTGTG